CTGTTCCCTGTGTCTTCCTTGGCTTTGTCCCTGACGCGTCTGGTTGGCAGTTTTACCACGCCACCTCGCGCCGGGTCCTTGCCTCTCAGGACGTCACTTTTGACGAGTCCGTCCCCTACTACCGCCTCTTCCCCTACCGCACTGCCCCACTCCCCCCCCCGCCTCTCTTCCTCGCACCAGGTGCTGCTGTGGTAGACCCTCTCCCCCCTCAGGGTGCCACTCCCTCAGGTGTGTCCCAGGTAGACCCGGTTGACCCTGTTGAGGTAGCTGTTGACTCTCGTCCTGCTGGGGGTGCGGAGCCTGGGGGTGCTGAGCCTGGGGGTGCGGAGCCTGCGGTTGCGGAGCCTGGGGGTGCGGAGTCTGGGGGTGCTGAGCCTGGACGTACTGAGCCTGGGGGTGCTGTGCCTGGGGGTGCTGAGCTGCAGAGTTCTGGGTCTGGGAGTGCTGAGTCTGGGGGTGCTGAGCCTGGGAGTCCTGCGCCTGGGGGAGCTCTCTCCTCGGAGCGGCTGCGTGAGTGGTACTCAGAGTATTGCAACCTCCGGAGAGGTGCCTCTGGGACCAGGAGTGCTGCTGCGACTGGTGCTGGTGCCTCCCCTCCTCAGCGGGAGCTGCCCTCTCTTGAGCGGATCCGCGAGTGGTACGAGCGGCGCTGCACTCTCCGGAGTGGAGCGCCTGGTGTCGCGGACCCTGGAGTTGGAGCTGCTGCTGGTGCTGCGGACCCTGGAGCTGGAGCTGCTGCTGGTACTGCGGACCCTGGAGCTGGAGCTGCTGCTGGTGCTGCGGACCCTGGAGCTGGAGCTGCTGCTGGTGCTGCGGACCCTGACGCTGGAGCTGCTGCTGGTGCTGCGGACCCTGGAGCTGGAGCTGCTGCTGGTACTGCGGACCCTGGGGTTGGAGCTGCTGCTGGTACTGCGGACCCTGGAGCTGGAGCTGCTGCTGGTGCTGCGGACCCTGGAGCTGGAGCTGCTGCTGGTACTGCGGACCCTGGAGCTGGAGCTGCTGCTGGTGCTGCGGACCCTGGCGCTGGAGCTGCTGCTGGTGCTGCGGACCCGGGAGCTGGAGCTGCTGCTGGTACTGCGGACCCTGGCGCTGGAGCTGCTGCTGGTGCTGCGGACCCTGGAGCTGGTGCTGCTGGAGCTGCCGCGGGTGCTGGTGCCGTCTCTCCTGGTCCTGGAGTCACTGAGCTGCCTAGACCGTACTTCGTTCCGCTTCTCCAGCAGGTTCTTGGTCAGCCTCCTCCTCCTTGTCCTGCTCCCTCCTTAGAGTGTCCTCCGCCTGTCCCGGCGCAATCGCAGTTACCGCCTCCCTCGCCGCTCCCCGGTCCTTCTCCTTACACTGGTCCCACAGGAGGTCTTACGGAGCGTCGTGAGCCTGAGTCTCGTCCTGTGTCGCCTGCGTCTCGCTCTGCGTCACCTGTCCGTGTTGCTCCCACTGGTCGTCGTGTCCCGCGTGAGCGTCCTCCTCCTGTCCCTGGCACTCACTACATGACTCTGCGTCCCTCCACTGCTCCTCAGCGTGTCCTTCTGCCGTCTCCTCCTGCGTCCTCTCTTCCTGAGCTTCCTGACCCGGAGTCTGACTCCCTTCGTGCTGCCCGTCCTACTGTCACACGTCTCCTTGCTACTGTTGTCACTGACCCTACCTTTGAGTCCTCTGCTGCGTCTGCTCTCGTCGCTGAGTTAGTTGACTTTGCTGCCGCTTGTCGTCTCGACTACGCCGCTAGCCTAGTTGCTGAGTCTGAGTCTGTCTGTCCTCCGTCCGTCGGGGGTGAGTGTGCTCTTGGCACGGACGTCCTTGAGGACAGGCAGGAGGAGTTCCAGTGCTTTGCTGCTGCTTTACCTCATCTCGTGTCCATGCTAGTTGCCCCTGAGGGAGACCCGGATGCACCAGACATCCCGACCCCGCGCTCTTACGCAGAGGCGATAGCGGGTCCCTACTCCTCTCAGTGGCAGGCAGCCATGGACGCAGAGATGGCTTCCTGGAAGTCCACAGGCACCTACGTCGACGCAGTTCCCCCACCAGGGGCGAACATCGTCAGTGGCATGTGGATTTTCAGGGTGAAGCGGCCGCCGGGTTCTCCGCCTGTCTTCAAGGCGCGTTACGTTGCTCGAGGCTTCAGCCAGCGTGAGGGAGTCGACTTCTTTCATACCTTTTCCCCCACCCCGAAGATGACCACTCTTCGGGTGCTGCTGCACATAGCCGCTCAACGTGACTACGAGCTTCACTCTCTTGACTTCAGCACTGCTTTCTTGCAGGGTAGTCTGCACGAGGAGATCTGGCTGCGCCGCCCTCCTGGCTTCACTGGGTCGTTTCCTCCTGGTACCCAGTGGAGCCTCCGCCGGCCGGTCTACGGTCTCCGCCAGGCACCACGTGAGTGGCACGACACACTGAGGACGACACTTGCGGCACTTGGGTTCGCGCCTTCTACTGCTGACCCGTCGCTGTTTCTGCGCATAGACACCTCGTTGCCGCCGTTCTACATCCTCGTGTACGTCGACGACTTGGTCTTTGCCACTGCTGACACTCAGGCTCTCGCCCACGTGAAGTCGGAGCTGGAGAAGAGACACACGTGCACAGACCTGGGTGAACTGACAAGCTATCTTGGCTTGCGGATCACCCGGGACAGAGCACGGCGCACCATCACCTTGACTTAGTCACACATGGTGCAGCAGGTCCTTCAGCGCTTCGGCTTCACGTACTCCTCGCCTCAGTCCACTCCTCTGCCTATCGGTCACTCGCTCTCAGCTCTGCCTTCGGATGAGTCCGTAGAGCCGAGTGGCCCGTATCCAGAGCTTGTGGGCTGCCTCATGTACCTGATGACCTGCACTCGTCCTGACCTTGCATACCCTCTTAGCATCCTTGCACGCTATGTCGCTCCTGGCCGTCACTGGAAGGAGCACATGGATGCCGCTAAGAGGGTGTTGCGCTACTTGTGCAGTACGTCAGGCATGGGGCTAGTGCTTGGAGGGCGAGACCGAGTTGTTCTCACTGGACACTCAGACGCTTCTTGGGCGGACGACCAGGCCACTCAGCGGTCGTCTCAGGGTTACACCTTCAGCCTTGGCTCCGGTTCAGTTTCTTGGCGTTCTACACGTTCTTCTTCAGTTCTCAGCTCCAGTTGTGAGGCTGAGATCTACGCCACAGCCATGGCGGCCCAGGAGCTACGCTGGCTCACCTACCTGCTGACCGACTTGGGAGAGCGGCCTCGTTCTCCTCCAGTGCTGTACGTCGACAACAAGGCTGCCATTGCCTTGTGTGAGGAGCACAGACTGGAGCACAGGACGAAGCACATCGCTCTGCGGTACTTTCTGGCTCGTGAGCTGCAGCAGCGTGGTCAGCTTTGTCTGCGTTACGTGGCCACTCAGGCCAACACTGCTGACGTGTTCACCAAGGCGCTTCAGCCTTGTGACCATCAGCGCTTCTGTACTCTTCTAGGCCTTGTGCCTACTGGACCTCACTTGCTTACTTCTTGACTTTGTTTGTACTGTGATCTCTATATATATACCTGCATGCTTTCACTTGCTAGGTTGTGATCACTGTACCTCTTGCTCTACTATCAAACTGCATGTGAACTGGTCTTGTGACCACTTGCTTGTGCTCGGAATTTGTGTGGTATCCCTTGAGATCCACCCTGAGCTTGCTTTGCTTTGCTTTGCTCTGACTGGTCTTGTGACCCCTTGTTCTCCCCCACTTTGCCTATGGGGGTGTGTCAAACATTATATCTGTTGTTGTTGTTTAGGCTACAGTGGGTTAGCCTTTAGGGGGTACACAAATTCTAGGGTTGCATATTTGTACTCACATTCTTGCTAGTCATTCTTTTTCCTGCCAGTTAGTTTCAACAGACTTATAACTGCCGAGTCATAAGACGGCTGATGTGGATTGGGGACTGTCGTTTCGAGCTCAGACCATCATCATCCTCGGACGCCTCGACCTAGGTGAACTCTCATATAAGAGCGGTTCACTACGTTGTTGTACGTTCCAGAATGGCATGTTTGTTTCACCGTTTTGAACCTCTAGAGACCAGTCTAAACGGTGATGCGTGTGCTGTAATCACGCCATGCATGGCACACCCCTCACTCGAATTATGGGCTCGGGCTTGCGTTGGGAATCGCGATCTTGCGTGGCGGGGCTTTTGGCGCTCATTGTCGTGCTGTGCTTGATCGTCATCAACAAGGTGAGTGCATACGTGCTGCTCAGTAGTAGCAACCTTAAGAGTCTTTGGCCATTCTAGAGTGAAGCTCTCTCTCGCTCTCGTGCTATGGAATCGCGTCTCAATTCAAGTGAGTGTATGCATGGTCGCCGTGCACTGTGTGGACGGCCTTCTGAGTGAGTTTGACCCGAAGCCCTTACGGCTTATGGAGTCCATCGGGAAAAGAGCGGGTGTGGTTTCCAAGTTGGAAACCAGTCGTAAGCAATTGGTTTTCGACTGCACCCGTTTTTGCGGATAAAGCGTGTGGTTTGCGTGTACAGTAGAATGTTGCTCGCGTGAAGGTTTCGGGTGGTCGGAGTAGCTGGCTGCCAAACCTGAAGATTTGGCTTGGATAATTTTGGCAAACTGAATGCAAACAGCTGTTTGATCGGCACTGGGCGCATTTTTTTTTTTTCGATTGGTTGTCGTGTCAGCAATATCGGCTCGATAAACATTGTTTCGAAAGTAATGCAACTCAATTGAAATGATGAAGCGCAAGCCAGCGTATTTTGGTTTCCCAACATAAAATACGATATTATCTTTGTGACGGAAATTGTGCATGTGACGAACGTGACGTAATCGAAGGTATAAAATTGCAATAAATTAAATAATACACTTTGGTCTTTTCAATACACAATGAAACCACATTCAACTACGTTGTTATTTAAAATTTAAAATTTAGTAATAATCAACGTGACATTTGTACCACATTAACAGCATGTACACAGCATACGTAGCAATACAATAACTACATTTACGCCACTACATAGCACTACAGTAACTACACCTACACCTAAATCTAAAACAACTCCTCCTACACCTGGTTCTCATCATGAACCCTGCGATGAGCGGTGGTGGGGACAAGATCATCAGGGGACAGGTCACCAAGCTCATCCCCCTTGAGCTCCTCGTCAGAAATGTCGGTCCATCCGACGATGCACAACTTCCCGATGCCAATGCACTCTCCATCGCGCTTGACTTGGGTGGCGTTGATCCAACGCTGCACCACCCGTGCCTGCCTGGCGAGAGCTGCAGGATCCGCGGAATGCGCGAACTGCCCCTTGGCGGAGGGATTGCGCAACTTGAAACGCACCTGACACGGTGAGGAAAACGCAACTTGTAAGCATTATGCTAAGATAAAACAACAATGGTTAAACCAGATAACTCACCGCTGCAAGCAGCACAAGAAGCTGCACAAGAAACAAGGCAATCGGGAAGGACCCGTCCCACTTAGAGTCCCAGAGAGCTGCACATTTAACAAAACCGTCGGTAGAAAACGGAACTCCGCCCAGGACATGTGAAGATAAAACTGTGAAGATGCGGGATGGAATGCTACTTTAATAATTGAACTTACCTCCCAGGTGAGAGTCGACGCGTCAACTTCCGTAGCCTTCTTAGCAAGGTGCGTGATAAGCACCATGCAGTCCTTCAATTCCTCCGCCCTATTCGCTTTCTCCTGGCGGTATGCTTCCGGGATCGCCTTCTGAGCACCCGCCTTGGCAACCAGCTCGTCGTTCACCTGGGGCTCGTCGCGCTCTTCCTCGTCATAAGCTGCGGCCTTTGTAGCGTACACTCGACCTTTCGCGCGTGTCATGATTAACTCCATCGGGCTGGCATCGACCTTTTCTGTTGGTGGGCAAAAAACAGTTACGGAAATGGCAGCATTAGTCATGGTTTCAAGCAACCAAATGCAAGGCTGGGAAAGATGAGCGCAAGTGTGAATCACTTTTTTCAACAGCGGTTCCTTTGTCCGGTACGACAGTGACACAATTCTCGATAGTTGCGATGGCAGTAGGGGGATGACCAGCGGCACCGGAGCCTTTGGGACGACCAGCAGTGTCGGCGGGGACTGCTGGAGCCTTGTCAGAGAGTGCCAGAGCTTTGGCGGGCTGGCCCAAAGCCTTGGCTGCCGGAGCTTTACCGGAGCTTTGGAGAGCGACACCAGTTGACAGTGAAGGCTCGGACATTCCAACGTCTGCAGCAGCGTTGACATCGTCGAGGCTCCGACGAACAGTCTTATGACGCTGTCCAGTAGGGTGACGACCAGCTGGTACTTCCTCCATCTTGAGCGTTGGCTCCATCTTGAGCTGGAAAAAAGGAATGGAAAAAGGTCAGGAAAAAAGAAACGGAAAAAAGAAACAGAAGAAAGTATAAGACATGACAGTATGAAAGGCTAGTGTAACAGGAAACAGTTGAGTTACATGTGGTGGGGGTCGGGAAGAACCTGTGTCGTTCCTTGCTCTTCCGCGAAAGCGGTTCTCGAGTCTGGTGGATTCTCAGAGAATCAGGGACAAGGTTCTTAGATTTGCCAGGCGCCATGACTTCTAGATAAGGGCCAGGTAGCCCAAACGTATAGCCAGTAAGACGCCCATCTACCATATTCATATGTAAAGCGAATGTGACTATACAAAGGAGATAAGGGCTATCACGAGCTATAACGAGTGAAGATGCACGCACCATGATTGGACACTTTACCAAACCTGCGACAGCAGTCGCAGGGAGTGAAGGCTCAATATGCGACGCTGGTGAAATGGCGTAATTCGAAATGGTAGAGAGGAGGAGTCGAAGTTTGAAATTCAAAATTTGATATTCTAAAACAAGAAACAACTACAGAGCACGTAACCTTACCTCTGCCAACGGGGAAAGGAAATAGGGGGGTGGAAGAGAGAAAGGAACGGGGTGGTGTGTGTGAAATTTAGAACGAGAATGGTGTGACTAACATCAATGGGAGTACAAATATGAAACCCTAGAGTTCTGTACCCCCTAAGGCTAAACCCACTGTAGCCTACAAAGCTACAACATGCATAATGTTTGACACACCCCCATAGGCAAAGTGGGGGAGAACAAGGGGTCACAAGACCAGTCAAGCAAAGCAAGCTCAGGGTGGATCTCAATGTCACCACACATTCTGAGCACAAGTTCAAGGCCACAAGGCCAGTTCACATGCAAGGTTACATATATATAACGCTAAACAAGCAAGGGCAGGTATATATATGTAACAGTACAAGCAAGGTCAAGAAGTAAGCAAGTGAGGCAAGGTAGGCACAAGACCTAACAGAGTACAGAAGCGCTGATGATCACAAGGCGCGAGTGCCTTGGTGAAGATATCAGCAGTGTTGGCCACGTAAGCAAGGCGCAGCTGACCACGCTGCTGCAGCTCACGAGCAAGGAAGTAGCGGAGAGCGATGTGCTTCGTTCTGTGCTCCAGTCTGTGCTCCCGACACAAGGCCAGCATGGCCTTGTTGTCTACGTACAGCACTGGAGGAGAACGAGGCGGCTCTCCCAGGTCAGTCAGCAGGTAGGTGAGCCAGCGTAGCTCCTGTGCAGCCATGGCCCCTGCGTAGATCTCAGCCTCACAGCTCGAGCCGAGAACAGAAGACGAGCGGGTAGACCGCCACGAAACAGAGCCGGAACCAAGGCTGAAGGTGTAACCCTGTGACGACCGTTGCGTAGCCTGGTCGTCAGCCCAAGAAGCGTCTGCGTGACCAGTGAGGACCACTGGACTCTGCCCTCCAAGCACAAGCCCCATGCCCGACGCACTGCACAAGTAGCGCAACACCCTCTTCGCTGCAGCCATGTGCTCTGGTCTGTGTCTCCCAGGAGCAACATAGCGTGCAAGAATGCTAAGAGGGTATGCAAGGTCAGGTCGAGTGCAGGTCATCAGGTACATGAGGCAGCCGACAAGCTCTGGGTATGGGCCACTCGACTCTACGGACTCATCCAAAGGCAGAGCTGAGAGCGAGTGGCGTGTAGGCAGAGGAGTGGCCTGAGGCGAGGAGTACGTGAAGCCGAAGCGCTGAAGGACCTGCTGCACCATGTGTGATTTCGTCAGGGTAATGGTGCGCCGTGCTCTGTCCCGGGTGATTTGCAAGCCAAGGTAGCTACGCAGTTCACCCAGGTCTGTGCACTTGTGTCTCTTCTGCAGCTCGGACTTCACGTAGGCAAGTCCAGCAGTGTCAGCTGTAGCAAAGACCAAGTCGTCGACGTACACGAGGATGTAGAACGGCGGCAAAGAAGTGTCGGTGCGCAGAAACAGCGACGGGTCGGCAGTAGAAGGAGCAAACCCAAGAGCCGCAAGTGTTGTCCTCAGTGTGTCGTGCCACTCATGAGGCGCCTGGCGGAGACCGTAGACTGGCCGGCGGAGGCTCCACTGGGTGCCAGGAGGAAAAGTCCCAGTGAAGCCAGGTGGGCGGCGCAGCCAGATCTCCTCGTGCAGGCTGCCCTGCAAGAAAGCAGTGCTGAAGTCAAGAGAGTGCAGCTCGTAGTCTCGGTAAGCGGCTATGTGCAGCAGTACCCGAAGAGTGGTCATCTTCGGGGTGGGAGAGAAGGTCTGAAAGTAGTCAACTCCCTGCCGCTGACTGAAGCCTCGAGCCACATAACGCGCCTTGAAGACAGGCGGAGAACCCGGCGGCCGCTTCACCCTGAAAATCCACATGCCACTGACGATGTTCGCCCCAGGCGGGGGAACCTCGTCAACGTAGGTGCCTGTGGACTTCCAGGAAGCCATCTCTGCGTCCATGGCTGCCTGCCATTGAGAGGAGTAGGGACCCTCTATCGCCTCCGCGTAAGAGCGCGGAGTCGGGATGTCAAGTGCATCTGGGTCTCCCTCAGGGGCAAGCAGCATGGACACGAGATGAGGTGAAGCAGCAGCCAAGCACTGGAACTCCTCCTGCCTGTCCTCAAGGACGTCCGTGCCAAGAGCACACTCACCCCCGACGGACGGAGGACAGACAGACTCAGACTCAGCGACGAGACTGGTAGCGTAGTCTAGGCGACAGCGAGCAGCGAAGTCGACAAGCTCAGCAACCAGAGCAGACGCAGCAGTAGACTCAAAGGAAGGGTCAGTGACGACAGTAGCAAGGAGACGCGTGACAGTAGGACGCGCAGCACGAAGGGAGTCCGACTCAGGGTCAGGAAGGTCAGGAAGAGAGGACGCGGGAGGAGAAGGCAAAGGGGCACGCAGGGGAGCAGTGGAAGGACGCAGAGACATCCGGTGCGTGCCGGGGACAGGAGGAGGACGCTGACGCGAACCACGACCACTAGTGCGAGCAGCACGGACAGGCGATGCAGGGCGAGATGCAGGCTCACGACGCTCAGCAAGACCTCCAGTAGGACCAGTGTAGGGAGAGGGAGAAGGAAGCGGGGAGGCCGGCGGTAACTGTGACTCGGACTGGACAGGAGGCGGACACGCTAAGGGAGGAGCAGGACCAAGAGAGGACGGAAGACCAAGAACCTGCTCAAGGAGCGGAACGAAGTACGGCCGCGGCCGCGCAGCGCCACCAGTGCCAGCAGGAACAGCACCAGTACCCCCAACGGGAGCACCAGCACCAGGAGGACCTCCAGCCCCAGCAGCGCCAACTCCAGCACCCGCAGCAGCACCAGCGCCAGCAGCACCTCCAGCGCCAACACCCCCAGTAGCCCCAGCTCCAGTCGGACCACCCGAAGACTCAGCAGCTCCAACTCCAGGAGCACCAGCAGAACCAACGCCAGTAGCACCAGTAGCACCACCAGCTCCAGCAGGAGGAGCACCCGTAGGCCCAGCAGCTCCAGTACACTCGGTACGAGCACCTCTCGGACCCTCGGCACCAGCACTCTCAGCAGCAGTAGAACCTCCAGCGTCCGCAGCACCACCAGCTCCAGCAGCACGCCGCCAGCGCCGGGCAAACCACTCACGCAGCTCCTGTGGAGAGAGCAGCTCCCGCCGGGACGAAGCACCCGAAGAACCGCCAGGCTCAGCACCACCAGACGCCAGACGAGCAGGTCCAGCACCCTCAGGCTCCGCACTCCGAGACTCAGCACCCCCAGGCGCAGCACCCCCAGGCTCAGTACCCCCAGGCGCAGCACCCCCAGGCTCAGCGACCCCAGGCGCAGCACCCCCAGGCTCAGCACCCCCAGGCTCAGCACCCCCAGGCGCAGCACCCCCAGGCTCAGCACCCCCAGGCTCAGCACCCCCAGGCGCAGCACCCCCAGGCCCAGCACCCCCAGGCTCAGCACCCCCAGTCGCAGCACCCCCAGACCCAGCACCCCCAGGCTCAGCACCACCAACAGTACCAGAGTCCACAGCAAAGCAGGGGAGGTCTCCGGCATGGAGACCCGGGGGTGAAGGTTGAGCTGATGCGCCGCGTACCGAACCGCAAACGGCCACAGAAAATGGGGAGCAGCCGCATGGATCATGGACGTACGAGCGACGTCCATGACCATGCCGATGCGGCGCTCAGCAATCCCATTCTGCTGCGGAGAGTCCGGAAGCGTGAAGGTCTGGCGGATGCCTCGTGCGCGACAGAAGGTCCGCAGAAGGTCAGAGGAGAACTCTCCGCCTCGGTCGGAGTGCAGACGCCGAACAGGAAAGTCGGAGCCGAAACTCTCCTGGAGCTGGAGACGAGCTGCGCGGATCCAGGCGATCAACACCTCAGTGACGTCACCCTTGCTGCGCAAGGGGAAGACTGCGGTGTAACGCGAGTAGTCGTCAACCACCAGCAGGAAGTAGCGCTCCTGACCCTGCCCACGGACGCGGGCTGGGCCCCACACGTCCATGTGAAGCGTCTGCAGCGGAGCCTCTGTCGGAGGAAGGGTGAGGAGTGAGGAGCAGCGCGC